CTGGAGTAAAATGGCATGATCTTAGCTCACTGTAACCTCTGCCTCCCAGGTTCAAGAGATTCTCCTGCCTCAGGTTCCTGAGTAGCTGGGATTACAGGCATTTGCCACCATACCTGGCTAACTTTTGTATTTTTAGTAGAGATGGGGTTTCACCATGTTGGACAGGCTGGTCTCCAACTCCTGACCACAGATGATCTGCCTGCTTCAGTTTCCCAAAGTGCTGGGATTACAGGGGTGAGCCACCGCGCCCGGCCATCATTACTACTTCTTCTTGTTTTTTTTTTTTTTTTAAAAGATGGGGTTTCACCACGATGGTTAGGCTGGTCTTGAACTCCTGACCTCAGGTGATCCACCCACCTCAGCCTCCCCAAGTGCCAGGATTACAGGCGTGAGCCACCGCGCCCGGCTCCCATTACTTCTTTTCATACCCCTAATTCCCATGTATTGGATACTCTATAGCTCAAGCAGGGTCTGGTTCTCTAACCAAGGACAAATGGCTTGTCCACAGCAGACGAGAAGCTGACAGGACTGCCCCGTCATCTGCTTCTGTCCCTCATAGAACCTAGCATCAACCACTGATTTTTTTTAAAAAACTTATAAAAAAAAAAAAAAAAAAAAAAAAGAGATGGGGTCTTGCTGCATTCCCCAGGCTGGTCTCAAACTCCTGAGCTCAAGTGATCCTCCCACCTCAGTCTCCCAACGTGCTAAGATTACAGGCATGTAATCTGAAAAACTCAAAAAACTTAAAAATCTCTCAAAAACTTTTTAGGACAGAAAATGTCAAACACATAGAAAGTAGAGAGAAGATAATAACAAACATACATGAACTCATCACCCAACTCAATCAACTGTCAACTCGTGGCCATCAGCTGTCAACTCGTGGCCAGTTTTGTTTCTTGGACACTTTGTCCTTGCCCTTCCTGTTCTTTGGATTATTTTGATTTCTTTGAACAGATCTCAGCCATCATATCATTTCATCTGCAAATGCTTCAGTATGTACCTCTAAAATATACAAACCCTTTATATTTTTATATTTTTATTTTATATTTGTTTTTGAGATAGAATGTCACTCTGTTGCTCGGGCTGGAGTGCAGTGATGCGATCTCGGCTCACTGCAACCTCCGCCTCCGGGGTTCAAGTGATTCTCCTGCCTCAGCCTCTGGAGCAGCTGGGATTACAGGCACATGCCACCACGCCCAGCTAATTTTTGTATTTTTAGTAGAGATGGGGTTTCGCCATGTTGGCCAGGCTGGTCTCGAACTCTGACCTCAAGTGATCTGCCTGCCTCCGCCTCCCAAAGTGTTGGGATTACAGGCGTGAGCCATCGTGCCCGGCAGGAACCCTTTTTATTCCCCCAATTTTTTATTGTGGTAAAATACACATAATATAAACTTTAGCATCTTAACCAGACTACCTCCCCGCTTTAAAAAAATATAACCAAAACACCATTTTAGCACTGAAAATAAGTCAACAATAACTGTTCATTATATATCAAATGGTGATCACATTTCCTCAACTATCTTATACTTTAGTTTGTGTAAATCAAGATCCAAGTCAAGTTTCATGCCCTGTGTCTGCATAAACCACAGACATGGAAGAAACATCTGGCATGGCTGACCACGTGACAAGTGAATCACCGGAGGAACGAATGTAGGAACTGGTATCTGAGGGTTCTTCTGTCCCCTTCCAATATCTGGGTACGCATTTGTTCATTCAGTCATTCAGCAAATATTTATTGAATACCGACTACATGTGCCTATTCTGCAACATAAAAGAAGTTGCACCAGAACAAGTGAGGGTGATCAGAGAGTTATGCTAGCATCCCTTTAAACATGAGGTTAGCAAGCTTTCTCAGTAAAAAGCCAAAGTAAATTTAGGCTTTGCAGGCTCAACAGTTGCTACTGCAAGTATTCCATCATTGTAGTGTGAAAGCAGCCATAGACCCAGTAAAAGATGGATGTAACTGTGTGTTCCAATAAAACTTTATTTACAAAAACAAGTGGTAGGCCAGATTTGGCCTGCAGGCTGTAGTTGGCCAACCCCTGGTTTAGCAAATCACACTCTACTAGCATCAGCCTCTAAGGTCAGAGTGTGGGTATGACCATTCTATCCATTTGTCTGCTGGTCATTTAGGGTCAGAGGCAGGGCAGAGGTGTGTGAAGTTGATACTGCAAGTGAAGAAAACCTGGAAAGTATAAAGGAAGTTCTATTCCCAAGTTCTCTTACCATTCCGATAGTGTTGAAACCAAGGCATTGTCACCCAGGCAGAATGGAGTGCTCCCAGCTCAGCTCGAAGGCGTAGAGTGACATTGAAATCCATTGGGAAGCCCGCTGAGGGGCTGGCCGCAGTGAAGTCACACTCTGTCGCTGTGATCTGTGTACAATTCACCCCTATGGACGTGTCCACCGTCAGCCATTCATCACCGCTGCTGGGAAGGAAAAAAAGGATTTCAATTTACAGAATTCTCTCTGCTGCTTTTTCTCTTTTTCTTTTCCTTTCCCTGACAAGGGTGAGTTTGAGGATTCTCTCTGCTTCATGTGGTAGTTTCCCCAGAGCTTTTGTTCAAAACACAGTTTTATTGAGATACGATTTATATATACCATACATTTTTCCTTTTTTTCTTTTCAGTTCCACTCTGTCACCCAGGCTGGAGTGCAATGGTGCAATCTCAGCTCACGGCAACCTCTGCCTCCTGGGTTGAAGTGGTTCTCATGCCTCAGCCTCCTGAGTAGCTGGAACTACAGGCACAAGCCACCACACCCAGCTAATTTTTGTATTTTTTTTTTTTAGTAGAGATGGGGTTTTACCATGTTGGCCAGGCTGGTCTCAAACTCCTGGCCTCATGTGATCTGCCCACCTCAGCCTCCCAAAGTGCTGGGATTACAAGTGTGAGCCACCATGACCAGCCACTACTTCTATTTTTATTTATAGAGCTGGAGTCCTTCTATGTTGTGCAGGCTGGTCTTGAACTCCTAGACTCAAGTAATCCTCCCGCCTCAGCCTCCCAAAGTGCTGGGATTATAGGCGTGATCCAGCTGTGGTATTTACTTGTCTTTCAACTGTTGAATTGTAAGAGTTCGTTATCTATTCTGCATACAAGTCCTTTGTCCAATATATGGCTTGCAAATATTTTCTCCCATTCCATCCCAGAACTGATTTTAATACTTCAAACTCAGTCTCTGTCGTCTATGTCTTGGGAATGGAGCTGTGTTAATGCACTCTCCAGTCCCGCTTCCTGCTGCTGCGGAGTCTCTCTCCACCCCACAGCTGCCCATTTAAAGAGGATGTATCTCACCCATATGAAAACCCTGCCAAATACATGGCCACACATCCTTGTGAATGACAGTGCCTTTCCCAGAGTCCCAATGCCACACCCCCACGTGGGACTGGGACTCTATTCCCCAGCTCTGACCTCTTTCCCGTAGGTTCCAGACTTCAGAAAGGCTAAGGAGGTGGCTGCTGGGAGCCTGAGTAAGGGCAGTGGACAGTGTCCCTTCTAAGACAGCAACCATGGCCCAGAAAGCAAGACCATGGGAGACAGGAGACAGACTGATGACCCCTCCGTGTCCCCAGGCCCACCGGCTTTCATGTGCCACACATGCTTCTAGCTGTACCTCTGACCCTGGCCAAGATGTATCGTTTTTCTAAGTGGCAAAGGACAAGATGAAAGCCACTTCAGGATGCGTGTCCAGAGCTTCCATGAAGACACCTGCCATAGACACCTACTACCCAGCCCCAAGGTGACAGACCCTAATGGGGAGAAGGATCACAGACCACAAGCCTCTCCTCTCAGGCGGGGGTGAGGGGTGTGCTCTGGAAGAGGCGATTTCTTTTTCAAGGTAGACAGATGCTGAAAGGCCCTCTAACCACCCCGCTCCTCCTCCTCCAAGAGCAACATGCACGGCTCTTCCTCAAATGCAGTGTGGGGCCTGCTCCCCAGCACCTCGACCCTGGGACTCAAGAGCTATGTCCAGCCTTTGCGAGGTCATGCACAAAAGTGTTAAGTCCATCCTCTTTGACCCAGAAACCTCTCTTCTAGAAGTGTAAGAATCAGATATGATTCATGTGTGAGGACATGACTTAGGACAGGGACAAGCTGCCAACTGTCTACTCCCATGAGTGGAGAAAAGTTGAACACAGCACATAATGAAACATACAATGTCCACACAGAAATAAGTATATGAAAAAATGCTCACACTTCATTACGTTAAATTAAGAGAAAAAAAGGAAATAGATCTCAAAAGTTTGACCCCAGTTTGGTTTGGTTTACACACACACACAAACACACACACACACACGTTCAAACAAGAGAATGAATTTAGAAAAAAAGTCTAAAATGAGAATAGTGGCCGGGCACGGTGGCTCACACCTGTAACCCCAGCACTGTGGGAGCCTAAGGCGGGCAGATCACTTCAGGTCAGGAGTTCGAAACCAGCCCAGCCAACATGGTGAAACCCCATCTTTAGTAAAAATACAAAAAAATTAGCCAGGCATGGTGGCAAGCGCCTGTAACATCTCAGCTACTTAGGAGGTGGAGGCAGGAGAATCACTTGAACCTGGGAGGCAGAGGTTGCAGTGAGCGGAGATCGTGCCACTGTACTCCAGGCTGGGCAACAAAGAGAGATTCTGTCTCAGAATAAAATAAAATAAAATAAATACAATAAAATAAGAATAGTGATTATTCGTGGAGTGTAGAATAACAGGTTATTTTATTTTTTCTACTTTTCTAGATTGTCCAGATTTTCTATAAAGAACATGGATTGCTATTAAAATCAGAAGAAAATGAAAAAAAATGTTTGAGAAGACAGGGCTGGGCAGGCCTGGGGAGGGGCTGGCAGGAGACCAGGAGGCGTGCTCTGGAAGGGACCTTGCTGCCCGGCTATCTATATTTTCAAGGAAAACTGAAATCAGGATTTTTTTTTTTCCTGTTATTTATTTTTTCTAAGTGAAAAATCCAGATTTCTTAATGTTGGCAACTAATTGGAAAAAAAAAAATTTAAACACTGGGAACCAAATAGCCTGCAGTCACTGTCTGCTACCCGTGATTCAGACTTTAAATTCTTCCATAAAGTGCTCCATGTAATTTTGGTCTTGCTACTCTGACTGTCAAAAAACAAAGGCATCTTCATTTTTAATCACAGCAATGCTTTACTGTGGAGAAACAGGGTGGAAATTTAAGTCCCACAAGCCTCAAGATTAATAGAAAGTCCCAAACATGTGAAAGTATCCAAAAAGAAATGAGAAGGCTCTCTTCCATCATCTAATCTACAAATCGGAAAAGAAAACAGAAATCATCCTCAATTTCAATTTTTTCTAACAGGAACATTCACATGTACTGTAACCTGTTTCTTTTACTAAAACCAACCTCCAGGCTGGGTGCGGTGGCTCACGCCTGTAATCCCAGCACTTTGGGAGGCTGAGGTGGGCGGGTCACCTGAAGTCAGGAGTTCCAGACCAGCCTGGCCAACATGGTGAAACCCTGTCTCTACTAAAAATACAAAAATCATGAGGCCGGGCGCGGTGGCTCAAGCCTGTAATCCCAGCACTGTGGGAGGCCGAGGCGGGTGGATCACGAGGTCAAGAGATCGAGACCATCCTGGTCAACATGGTGAAACCCCGTCTCT